CTCAGACACTGATCTTAGTCAAATAAAGCAACAGAAAGCAGCAAATCCACTTGTTGGAGTTTGTAGCCCACAAGAAATTCCAGGTTGCTGCCCCGTTTAGGTTGCTGCTTGTAGCTGTGTACTGGAGCTAGCTACTCTAAAGTTGACTTATACGAGGGAGGCTTTTTTCTTAGCCTGAATGGTTTCCCAGAGTAAAAGGTAAAAAGAGGATCTTGCTCTTAACTCCATCTGGAATTGCTGCTCTACCCGGTAAAGCCAAGTGATGGTGTGGTACTCACTGTGGAGTTACTGATTTTGCACTAGTCCACAGAGCTGCCAAGCCCTAAAGCATTAGAATTGCATCTCTGCTTGGCTACTCTGTTTTTTCAGCTGGGTGGAAGGTCTAGCAAATACATACACGTCTTCCAGCTTTCCCTTACTTTCCAATACCGAGTCCATAATTCTTCCAAAAAGGGAACCTGTCGGCAGCAACTAGCTAGTAGCTGTTCTGCTGTGTCTGAGACCTTCTGTCGGTGGGGTCTGTATCCTGACGATACTGCCTTAATCCCTTCTTGTAGTAAGTTTTTGTGTTTGTCTTTGGAAGCTGTGTTGCTTCTTGATTAATTGATGGACGTTTAGACCAGCACTCTTCCTACTGTCATAGAGCTTATGATGGAAACTCTTAAAGAACCTCGCTTTAACCTCCCAGACACTTAGCACTTCTTCATGGGGTTTGTATCCATGTAGAAATGAATTTGCCAGGACAGATGAATGCAGTTATTGACTGGAGCAGCCATTACCTGCTGCTATTGAGCAGTTAGGAGAGGGTTAAGAAGAAAATCTCTTCTGAGCCACTAGATTGGCCCTGACTAAGATGAATGTCTAATTCACTCCCAGCGTCCTTACTGCTGCCAGTAATAAAAAGCTTGCTTCACATATTCACCCCACTGCAGACGTTTCTCTTAAATTAAATATCAAGAGGACATATAATAGCACGATTCCACGCCAAGCCAATATTATCAGATTGATGTCAGCAGTGATAATAGAAGAAGGATAAGTTGATGAGATTTCATTTATTAAATAAAGTAAAGGGAATACGCAGTGATAGAGAGGGTTTGGTAACTCTCGGTGTGTCAAAACGCAGCAAGATCATGCTCGTTCTGTCTTACCTGAAAGGACAGCAGAGAGAAGGATACCCTCTGTTTCATTTTAAGAAAACCTCTCCCTTCTTTTCTGGACAAAGACCTGATTTAGATCCTTCCATGGGAGGGGGAAAGGAAGATCTGAATTTGTGGATTTCATGTGTACGTAGCCTTCCTTCCCATTGAACAGCAGCGAGGCAAAGATTTCTTTCCCCACTATGATGGAGGAGGCACTGATAACGAGTTTGATTTCTAGATTCATCCTTTCCTCTTTCCCACCCATCATCTTTTCTCCTTTTCTCTTCCTTTAAACAGATGAGAGCTAGTGTTACTGGTTTAATCTTTCATATTTTGTATGTCCTGTGTTTATTTCTGAGGTATTGTCAGAGCTCATCTCCCATACTTCCCTGCCCGTGGGTATGGTCCTAGCCCCTCCCAGCCCAGTCTTTCTCTCTTGCCTTTTTCCTAGCTGCCGTAAATGAGTCTCTTACATCTGTTTTGATAGTAGCGGTAGCAATTGCAACATGTTTTTAGGCAGAGGCTAATTGTCTACCTTTTTTGTGGCAGCATATTTTTGCTTAAAACTGTGACCTGTTTTAGAAGAAACGTCAAAGCATACTAGTCTTCTGCTCTTCATGTATTCAAACTTCATCCCTGCTACACCATGTTCCTTCCCCCTCGTTGTTTAAGAAATAATAATAAAAACCCTCAAACAATGAGATGTTTACCAAGAGCAGCATAGTGGAGTGTCCAGAAGGTGAATTTTTCTAAAGATAGTGCCAACCTTTTGCTGAGCTGAGGTTGAAGGAGATAGCTGACGAAGGTCCACCTCCTTTGGAAGTCCGTGTGCCATTGTTCTCAACAGAGGTGTTTGTAGTGAGGCACTGCTGGTCTCCATCAGGTTTTTGATGTTTAGTTCCTTTTCCTTTCAGCTGTGTATGGGTAAAGCCAGACATCTCTAAGGTGCAACTGGTGTACAGGGCTGTAGTTCCCACTTGTGTGGAAATGTTACAACCTGAAGTTAAGAGACTTAATGTGAGCAGGAGAATCGCATCCCTTTGGGTCAGATAGGACAGGAGTAGTGGTTACTGTGCTGGGAGGAAAGCTCCTTAAGCAATTGTTCACCAAAGCAGTTCAGATACCCTTTTTCAGTCCAGATGGGAACCAGAACTAGTCTGCTGGACGTGGGTGACTTGTGTACTCCCGGACTCTGCAGGATATGCTTCCTTGTGGTGAGCTCACATTTGCTTCTTGTCCCTTTGCTTCATAGATCACACTGCATGGTGGGGCACCATGGCAGTTATCTCCCGAGCAGTGCCAGCTTCCCACTCCAAAGTGAAATGTCATTCTCAGTAGGATTTAACTGGTTCTGTTCAATTTCCAATTCCACTGTGAATGCACTAATGTATTGGTTTGTGTGATTTGTATTGATAGTTACCTTAAGCAACTTTGCTTTATGTTGATTACTTTCTCTTAATCTGTTTTGAGAAGCTGGTGCAATTGATGCATAACCACATTTGAGATTTTATTTTGAGGAAATAAAGCAGAATATTCTTGTTATGATTCCGGGTGCCTGGTACCCAATAAATCCTCTCTGTGTTGTGGGAAGCGGCATGTATGAACGCTGATTTACGTAGTTGCTGGGCAATGCATGCCATTCCGTGCTGATTGATCCCTTGTCTCTGGTAGGCTTTAGGCAGCAACACTCACTCCGTGGCTTTTAAACAGCCCTCTGGGCTGTGGGCTGGGCTCCAAGGTGTCTCCTAAAGAAAAGGGCCATGGACTTTGCACTGACCCCACAGACGGGTCCCAGCTTTATATTTACTCTAGGCAATGAAGATTGATACTATGGGGGGGACAGTGAAGGAACAGACAAAAAAAAAAGGTGCAATTCCTATAGCTGTCCGTGCCAACAATGGCAGCCTCAAGCATTCTTCCAAATATTTCTCCAAGATGTTTGTACCATATTGTTTGATTCAGATGAATCCAGACTGTTTTGTGGCGTGCTGTACCTTTTTCCTCTTCCAGCTCTCTGCATGAAAATCAGAAAATGCCCTTCAGTTTACAACGGCTGAGTTTAAAAAACCTAATTTTAAAAGTCTTAACTTTTTCAATGAATTGAGGGATTTGGTGGTATTTCCTGACCTGGTATTGTTTGGTATCGTTTCCACAGTCTCGCTGATTTGATTAGAGTGATATTAAAGTTAGTGACAAAGCAAAATGCCAACATTATGAGTTTCTGAAGCTCTCTCTGGGTTCTTTTCTATTTCAAAATTTGAAGATTTTTTTAGAATATGGATTTTTAGAGGCTTTAAAGGTGATTTGCTATAGAACATAGAAATTAGAAATGCACACTAGCCTCTAGGGACCATGCATGGAATAAGTTTCTTCTAAAAGCTGTAAGATTAGTGAAGAGGTGGAAAAAGAAGCCTGCATAGTATCTTTGGTGGTTTCTGATCCAAACCTCAGTGTTTTAAAGTATGGCTGTCATACCGTGACTGATAAATTCGTAGTCCATTCATGTATGTTGTCAGTAAAACTGAGGACTAGGGAAGTATCATTTGGAGTATATCTCAGCCAAACTGCTTTAAGGGAGCAACCAGGTTGCTGATATGGAAAGCACAGATTTTTATTTTTTTTCTTTTGGCCCTTCCACTTACCTTCCTGACCATCTTACAGAAATGAGCATGACTTGGAAACTCATATCTGAGCTCTCTAAAATCTTTTAGAAGATCTTGGTTTAAGATTTCATGTTTCTTAGAAATCTGTTCCACCTGAGAGAATGAGATATGCCCAGGAACAGGTCATGTTTTCTTTCTGCCTTGCTATGAAGCCCTGTTGCTGAATGAGTGCCTGTTGTTGTTACTGTGGAAATGAATATATCATGGCATGGCATTCATGCCTGCCTGTAGCATCAAGTGCTTTAGAAGGACAAGGTGAATTTGATATTTGGGCATAGGTCTCTCTAAGCGTATTGGGGCAGAAAATGCAAGGAATTAAAGGTATTTATGGTTTAGGAGGCGGTATCTGAGGATTGCTACACCTAAGCATATGTTCTCTTGTTCCCTAGTAAAACATACCATGGCAATTGTGCTGCAAATTCCTGCAATTTGTGTCTGCCTGTCTGTGCAGCTGATGACACTGTCGTTACTGTGTTTGTGCCATTGTTTCTGGTATTGTTTTACAACGACCTTCTCCTTTATTGGTATGGTTGCTGATGATGTGCCATATGTACACATGCACATTAGAGTATGAGAACATCATCTCTAATTGTTCTTGGGTAGCTGTCAATGCCACTTACGGGGTATGAGTACTAATTGCTTCAGAAACACAAAGAAACAGATATCTGGTCTTGCTATTATTCCATTTTTTCTAGTCACTAGAAGAATTGCAGTGCTTCCAACCATGTTGGATTTTTTGAAGTGTTTAAATAGATGAGAATTCAATAGATCGAGGCAGCTTATTCAACAAGTCCGTTCAGTTCCTTGTCAGACTGTTACAGATCTAGTGCAGACCCAGCCAGGATTCCTGAGTTCTGCCAAAGATTTCCAATGTGAGTTGGGGAAATCATTGAACCTCTTGGAATTGATTTCTTTTTTCTTTTTCTCCTGACTGCAGAGGAGAGATGATGTTTTATCTAAGGGTAAAACAGCCTTCCACATCAACCTAGAAAAGAACATGTTCCTTCTTTCAGCCGAGTCCTCTGGATCTTTCAGCTGAAAGACCCTCTTGGTCATTTGACCCACTTTGGTGATTGCTGCTCCCATTGGTTTCTCTATTAGAACTAGATGACTCCAACACAAGATTAGAATGCGTGTCACTGGTAAAGTGGTAGAAGACTCCTCTTCACACATCTTTCTGTGCTTGTTTTCCCTGCAGGAGGAGGAACACTGATCCTGTCTGTGCAAGTCTGCAATCTGAAATTCTGAAGTGCTACCAAGAAAACAAGCGTGAAGTGCTCAAATGCTCGGAGCTGGCTAAGGAATATCAGCGCTGTGTTAGTGCAGCTCAGAAGGTAACAAAAACTTCCCTGTTGCACTTGCTGTCTTTGCTGTCTTGTTTTGCATGGTATTTTCTTCTGGGAAGTGTTTCTGAGAGCTGTGGTATCTGTTAGTCAAATTGCAATGCTCACAGGAGACAAATTTTCCTTGAGATCCGTTTTCCCACATTCATTCCACATTTCCCAGTCACACTGTGGTATGTCCCAACTTCACTGTCATCAGTGAGTCCTGTTGTAGTGAGCTGCCACCACAACAGTCACACTGATGTTCCTAGATTTCAAAGTCAGTCATAATGATTTTCCGAAGTTTTACTTTCTTGGACGCTGTACTCTGCAAACAGTAGGCAAATCCACTTTGCCAATGTCAGCAACATTTGGAATGGGCTCTAAACGTCCTCCCGTTTATGGGACTTTGCAGTTGGAGGTCTTGCTTCCTTTCGTTGCTGCATGAGGAAAGCTTCTTTACTGGACAAAGCTGCTGCCTCTTAAGAAAATTGCACGCTGCTAAAAGCTGGGCTGCCAGCAAGCCTTCAGAGATGCAGAGCCCTAGGAGATTCTGTTGATGCCTTAAGACAGTGTCTGCTCAATACTTTGAAAGAATTACTAGCTATTGAAACAAGTGAAGGAGAAAGGAAAAATAAAGTATTTGGACGTTACAGCTAGGATATGGTCATGGGGAAAGTGAGTGGTAAGACATAAGCTGCTGCTTGGGATGTCCGGAGTGTAAAGGATGCTGTTCTTCACATGAGAATTCAGTGGGTCAGGTGTCCCTCAAGGGCAGGCTTTTCTTTTTTTTTTTTTTTTTTTTTTTTGGAGGGGTAGAAAATTCTCCAAAAGGTGCTGAGACTACAGTGAGGTGGATTTGGGGAAAAAGATGGAGCCTTCTGGGAACAGAAAACTGAGACTCCTCTCATGGGATTACTAATGCAAAGGGTGGGGGGAGAGGTGAGGATTTCATAGAACCAGTCTTTCTCTGTTGCATTAGCATTGTGAAGGGAAGCTGTATGCCTGATTTAAGTATAACATGAAACAAGCTGCCAGCCGGCTCCCAGAAGAAGCCCGACAGAAGGAGATGGGAAAATTGTCAGGATATATTAGACCAAATGTTGTTGCTAGTCCTCGTGGAATTTTTTTCCTTCCTGTTTACAAAGAAGGTCTTTGTATGTCTGCAAATCAGCAAGGTTAAAGCTGCCAGGGAAAGGGCTTTTCTCTGATATCTTTGAAGTCCCCAGCTCCCAAAACGTGTGGTTTCTTTTTCTTTCTCAGCTTTAAAGTAAAGCGGTGCCTGTGCTGCCGCTGCACAATCCGTGCCCTCTGTTGCTGTGCGCGGAGCCTTGGTGCATCTATTGCCGGCCTCTGTCACCTGACGCTTCCTCCTTGCCTCCTGCACATCAGGCCTGTAGCCTTTTCAGTGGAGTATGTCTTTAGCAAATGCATTTACCAATACGTCTTTATTGCATGCAGTGCGGGCGGAATGTGATTACCGAGGAAGACAGATTGCATTAAACTTCAGCGTATTTGCAAGCTGCGGCTCCAGCCCGCCTGAGAAAGGGGCTGGGACACTGCCAGCTTCGAGCCCCAGCCCGACATTATTAAAGAGTAAATTGGAAGCAAAATGACTGGTAACAGCAGAGGGCAGTGAGAGATCCTATTAACTTGGATCTTTTTTGGTTTTGTGTGGTGGTAGGGTTTTTGGATAGGTTTTCTTTATAAACCAAAAACTGGGGGTCATCTTGGTTCCCAGAATGTCCAGTGAACTTAGGAAATTTTTTTTCCCCACTGTTTTAGAAACTTCCTGGAGGGAGCAGTGCATAGGACATGAATTTGTTGTGCATGATGACAATGTGGCAGAAAATCTTCTTGCTGTGTTTAAAGAAGAGGTGAGACAGACTAAGGAATAGGTAACTAAACCTTGCAGCTAGGTATGGGCGCCAGAGGGTTCTGGAAGTACAAATTCAAATAAAACCTGTGTAAGGTAGTACATCTTCTGTAGTTTCCTTTGTCCCAGGACAGCTCAAGCCCTGACAATTTGCCTCACTGCTCAGAGTCCTCTGACTCCTGAGATGTATGTAGTGATCACAAGCTGTTGTGTTTTTTCGTGAGGAATTAAAACTCTCTCCTCCCTTCCCCTTTTAAGCTGTTATTTTTCTTTAAGTTTAAATTAGCATCTTCTACCAAATGGCTTTGTCTCACGCATTCCTCATTCAGGAAAAATTCAGGTTGGAGGAATGTGGGAAAGAGAGGCCAGAATCTCTTGATTTCTTGGGTATTTTTTTCCTTTTTTTTAACACAATTTGTTTTCCAGTACAGGAGGTTGTAATCAAAGCTGGATGTGTTACTTCAGCTCACTTGCATGCTGGTGATTTGTTGTTCTGCTTTTTACTAAAGATTTTATAAGGCTTGGTGAATATTCTTTAATGAAGCATCTGGTTCTCTGCAAGTTCCTTTTGATGGCTGGTAAAAATGTCTCCAGGGCATGGTATACATTAGACTCAGAGAAAGCAAGCTCTAGATTCCTAGACTGAAAATTACAGCCTAAAGTGGATGAGAATAATTCTTTGTATCTTCCCCCTTACTGGGTTGGTTTGAGACGGATCCTTTTGGGCACCCGTTTCCCTTTGCCTATTGCTGTGCACACCTCTGAGCCGGGAGCTGAGGTGCACCCTCAGTTGCTTCTGCCTCACGGACAAACATATCGGATAATCATTTCATGAGTTTTGAAGTTTATTTTCTACTGATTTCCTGTATAGGCCCTCACAACGGAGCAGGTTACTTTATTGTAGTGCGTGTTAGGGATATAACTAATGTTACCTGTTTTGTGTATTTTCTGGCCATCAGAGTGTCTTTGGTAGTCAAGGGAGAGAAATAGACACCACCAGAGCATGGTGCATCTGATCCTACAACAGTCATCTGAAACAGGTCAGCTGAATTGCCATCCACAAGTATTTCTCTCTGCCACTTAGGCACATCCAGACCATGGACTCCGAAGTTAATGCCTGTAGTGGGATGTTCGTAGAGTTATAGGAGCAGGATCCTGCTCTGATTGTCCGCCTTTGTAGCTAGTACGCTCTCAACCTGCCCTGCCTAACCTGCTCACTAGCTTTGCTGCTCATACCATCCCGAATGTTAAGCTTTGGTTGCGTTGCCGTTGGCTCATGGCAGCAGCGTCAGCCCACTTAGGCTCTGGGTTGCTCGCTGCGTCCTGTGCTTTGCTGGCGTGGAAGCTCTCTGACTTGAGAGTATGTTACTGTAATGTCTCCTGTTTAATTTAGGAGTGTTTTATCTTTTCTGGTGGTCTGTTTTCATGGCTCTGCAGAACTTCAGCTACAGCATAAAAATCGCTGGCTTTAAATCTAATAAAAGCTGGGATAATGGGACAGCTGTGGGAGGGCCAGTTCCCATTGTGTCTTTTGAAATTGCCTGTAGTTTATTGACCGCAAGTTTCACCAAGAGCTACTGCTGCCGTTAGATAATGAGAATTGAAAATTGCTGCCGCTGTTTCCCCATGGTTTTATCTCATGCCAATGAGAAGAGGGTGTGGAAGGAAAAGGAGAGTGAGCAGTGGAAATCTGTAATTTCTTAACTTTGAGTCCAGGCGAAAGGGAAAAACAAATGATTGTTGTGTTTGTTTTTTTTTTTAAGTCTGAGTCCTATTACTGAATTACTTCCCTCCCCCTGTAAGTATGCACTAATGTGCAAGCTTTTTGGAATTTTTTGTGATCCCTTCTTCTTCCCTTATGTCCTGTTCACACCAGTAGGCAAATCTGAATTTCCACTGAATTTTAGTTGGTTAATTTGTTACGTAATTGGTGGCTGTACAAGGGAATCTCAGACCAGCTGCCACTTGAAAAACACAGCCTCTGGTGACCATGTATTAACGTGATTTGAGATTTCTGACAGAACCTGCTTCTTGCGACTGTGTGCAGAAAAACGTCTGTTAGCGAAGAGCCATGTATCCCTTTCTTTCCAAGTGCTGAAGTA